GGGGAGAATTCCTAGTTCTGCAAGGCAGATGACATGTAGGGCCATGGGGTTACTGTGGCCTGCTACCCCTGTAGCTTTCTTGTGATAATCAAAAGGTCTGAGTACACATAAGGACATGACTCTGGGTGTCTTGGAGATTGATTTGAATGAATGACAACCAAGTCTTAACAAATTTGATGATGAATGAGGGATTTTGTTTGGAATACTATGCATTGAAGCAAAAATTGAGAATACATAGCATACTTCTCTTTTACATATATATTAAATGTTTTGCCTTGATCATGGTTTACAGCTTACTCCTAAGAGTTTATATTCACCTTCTGCTTGGAGAAAACCATATGCTCATTAATTTTTAAATAGATTTAGTGTTCTGAATGCTATAACTTGTGTTGGAAGTACACATATAAAGTTTTTGTAAAGTTCTGAGCAAGTCAATAGTTAGGATTGAATATATATGTATATCAATTAGCTGTTGTCAAAATAATGCTACATGTTACAGACTGGGTTTGTGAGAAACAGACTCTAAGATAGAGATTTATATGTAGGAAATGTGTTAGGAATCAAAACCTGTGTGGGGTCCCTGGGTGGCTCGTCAGTTAAGATAAGCATCGCTGACTTTGGCTCAAGTCATGATCTCATGCTTTGTGAGTTCGAGAACCCCCGTTTGGGCTCTGTGCTTACAGCTCAGAGCCTGGAGCCTGCTTCGGATTCTGTGTTTCCCTTTTCCTCTTCCCCTCCCCTCTTCATGCTCTGCTTCTCTCTCAAAAATAAACATTAAAAAAAAAAAAAAAAAAAAAAAAACCAAACCTAACCTGTGGAAGAGAAGGGATGGAGGCAGGATTGAACAGAGGAAGAAAGTAGGTTATGATGCCCTATGAATGCGGCTTCAGCCGGCTCCATGGGACACTTAGAAAGGTTGTCCCAAATCTGGGTGACAGGCTGAGCCTATACACTCCTGCATCATTGGATAAAGGCTGCGCCAGGAAAAGGGCATGACCTTGGGTGATGATTCTTTTTGAGATCATTCCAAAGGTGACAGCTGAGGGCAGTCTGCTCACAGCACATCTAGCACAAAGTGAGTAAGTTCTTTATTCTCAAAAGGGAAAACACAGTATCTGTTACACTGCCTAGTATTTCAGTGGCTTATAACAACAAGAACATAATTTCTTATGTACTCCTTTGCAGATTGTCTAGGATTCTGCTGAATTAGACTGGGCCAATTTAGGTGCCAAGCCACAGTGTGAGTCCAGATCTGCTCCATGTGTATCTCATCCTCTCATGACGAAGCAATAGCTCAAGAGGGCAAATCTAGATATGCAAACACATGTCAGGGCTCTGTTATGTTAGTATCTTGAACATCTTATTTGCCAGTCAAGTCACGTGGACAGGCCCCACCTCAGTGGAGTGGAAGTCTACTCTTCTATGGAGGTCCAGGGGAGGGAGTGAATATTTGCTGAATAATAATCCAGTCTACTATTGTGTGATTCTACTTAATGAACAAAGGATGAGAAATTCGCTGCCAAGATTTCATTGTCAGTCTTTCTCTGAAAATACTTCTGTTTGTCATCTCCATCTGTTATGAATGAGATGAAATGTGACAACACCTTCACCACTATTTGGCAGAGAGAACAGCTTGTGCTGAGTTCTTATGATTTTTAAATTTAGATTTGAGTGGATCTTGTGTGTATCTGTATCTCTATTGAAAACATGGTATCCTTGTAAAGTATTTATCTGGGGGAGTGAAGAGTTTCTTTTATTTTACATTTAGTCTTTAAATTCTTTGTGTTACTTTAAATTGAGGTATATATACAGTAAAGTGTATTCAGTACACTTAGGTGCATAGTTTGTAAACTTGTATATTAGTATACATTCGTGTAATCACCACCCAGATCTAGATAAAGAACATTACCACAGTCTCAAAAGATTGTGCCTCTTCCCTCATGCCTCTTCCCAGTGAATGATCGCCCCCCTCCTTCTGAGGTAATCATTATTCTGACTTCTCTCACCATTGATTGTTACTCTTCTCAAAGTTCACATAAATGGAATCAGCCAGTGTGTTCTCTTATATGTCTAGCTCTTGGAATTTTTATGATCTTACTGATAAACCGTAAGTCATATGTCAGACTTCTATGTCTTTTGTTAGCCTATTTCTGAGAGTCTTTTGATGTTGTCTCTTCTGTTACAGAAGGTAAATTTTGTGTTTTACTTACAGCTTTTAAGGGTGATATTGAACTCTATAAAAGCCTATTCAAAAGGAGACTCCTATGTGTGTGAGAAAGATGGAGTTAGTATGGACCTCTAGCCCATATTGTTGGCTTCCTTTATGAAATTGGTCATCACTTTAAATAAACTTATTCCCTGGGAATTCCACAGTGCATATGTGTAATGGGATGTAGATTTTCTACACAGACTGATTATGACGACACTCTCCTCTGGGCTGTGTTTCAAAGCGGACTTTGGGGGTTTCATCGCCTCTGGTTAGCTATAAGTTGGACCCATTCTTTCCATTTAATTTGTGACAGTGCAGGAGTTAGTCTTCTGAAAGCCAGTGTTTACTTCGGCGTTCAGTAACACACACTCCATTCACAATCTATTCACTTCAGATTTGGGTCATAATCACTTATAACGGCTGTGATATTACTTTGGTTCTTTGAAACCCTATTGGATAATAGCCTATCATCATTTGTAAAAGTACCTGTAAGAGAAGCCTTTTCTTCACCTTTCATGAACGAAAGACTGAAGATTCTTTCATGCTTTGAGTGGCTGCTACAATATTAGCTGAGAAACACTCATTTAGTCTTGTGACTTTGGGTTTCGGAACACCTGTTAATTATAAAAACTACCACCTCCTGAGGAATCTCAACAGCAAAGTTAATTTGTATAATTCTTGATTTTGAATACCACTTAAGCTTCTTCAGTTTTGTTATCCATTGTAAATTTAGTTTAAAAATAATTTTTTATGGTAATATATTAAATTGAAGGGATCCTTACATGCTCTTGGACTTTGCTTTCATTTTCATAGATCAGTTTTTTAGAAACTAATTAATTTCAGGGGTGATGTAAACTTGTTTAACAGTGTATTGTACAGTTAAAGTGATGAGTCTGTCACGTGAGAAGTTTAGCTAGGAAAGGGGAGTTTAGTTGATTATGAAGTTTGCAGAGCACAGGCAAAGAGTAAAGATCAATTCTAACATTTTTGTAACCCTTGTTGTGGAATGGTGAGAAGAAATTCACTTGAAAATCAAAATTATTCCATGATTGTGACACATACAGCAAAAGACTATATACCTGGTCAGTGGTCCTTGCTGTGATTATGACTAAGGAATAGATAATGAGATTCCTGCTTGCTTTTGTTTTGTGGAATCCAGTGATTTATTTAAGAGAGGTGTTCATCCTTATTAAAGCAGTTAGTTACTGTACCTTAAATATGTCTGTATGTCCTAAATCCCACCTTTAGTTCTGTCAACAAGTTCATATTTTAAACCCTTATTCGGTGTCTTAATGTATCACAGTGTAAATATGTCTTTTTAATGGATCCTGTAGCCAATAATTTTTTCTCTTTAACAGATATTAGTTGATATTTGAGTTTATCTTATATTCTTGTATGAGTAGTAGGAACTCACCAGCTAAATTTTAAGAGACATGTTTTCATATGGATGTGATGCTATCCTCCTTTATGAACATTTTAATATCAGTATATACTTTGTGTACAAGCTGCAGGACCTGGCTTTGATATGTTAGAAAGTTTAAATAGAACTAGTCCTCACTTGGTAAGGTTTCGGTCACCCTGCCAACGAAATCCACGCCACCCCTACATCTTATCCAGACACAGTGGAGCCAATCACCCTGTTTCCCAGTTTCCCTTCTACGTAAACAAATGTGTGTATATGTTATGAATCAATCTCTTGCTCTCCATTAGAAATGACGTCACTAGTGTTTCAAATTTAAAGTTTTGGAACCTGTTTATTCACTGCTTCTAATGGGAAGAAGAGTGTTTTTTAAGTAAGCTAGACCCAAGATACTTTTGCCAAAAAAAACAGGTATATTGGGGCGCCTGGGTGGCTTAGTCGGTTAAGCGTCCGACTTTCGCTTAGGTCATGATCTCGCGGTTCGTGGGTTTGAGCCCCGCGTCGGGCTCTGTGCTGACTGCCAGCTCAGAGCCTGGAGCCTGTTTCAGTCTGTGACTCCCTCTCTCTCTGACCCTCCCCTGCTCACGTTGTCTGTCTCTCTCTCTCCTAGAAATAAATAAAACATTAAAAAAATAAAAAAAAAAACCAGGTATATTATCCTAATCTATCTGATCCTCTTTTCAAATTACTCTTCATATCATTCTCTCTTGAAATATATAGGAAACCTACACTAGCCTAGCTGATTCAAGCAAGTCTATTCATCTGTTCTTTGTCTTAGAAAATCTCAGCCAAGTTACTGTTTTTACATGGATGTGCATTTCATTTTGTTTGTTTAACATGGATGTGTAGTTTGGTTTTGTCACCCTGATTCTCAATTCCATTGTTTTCTGTAACTGTCTTCATAGTACATCATCGTCTTAATCCAACCTGAGAATATTTTTTCTCTAATACATAATCTGTTTTTCCCTTGTCAAGGAAGGGAAACAACCCTGTATAATGCTGAAGTGATTGTGGCACTTTTAACGAACGGGATGGTGAAACTTACTCGCTTCCCAGTTAATTCCTGTGCCTGGAGGCCCTGGATTTTCATGGTTAGGTTACTATAACAAATGAATGCATTTTTTTTTTAATACACATCTTATAAGGTACAAATCAACATTTTCTGAAAGCAGTAAATGATATTTTACATTTACAACAGATAGGTAATCTGGTTTTTAAATTTTTCTTAATTTTGTTACTTAGAAAATAAACACCTAAGTATATTAGTGTTAATTAAGTGCATCATGCATTTTAGGATTTCTGTTCTTAAATAATGGACCAAGTTTGCATTTCTGGCTGATCTTTTTTCTCCATTTTGTTTGTTTTCTTTAGTTTCATGCCATGGATACATTGTACAGGCACAGCTATGATTTAAGCAGTGCAATTAGTGTCTTAGTACCACTTGGAGGACCTGTTTTATGCAGAGACGAAATGGAAGAGTGGTCAGCGTCTGAAGCTAGTTTATTTGAAGAGGCACTGGAAAAATACGGCAAAGACTTCAATGACATACGTCAAGACTTTGTAAGTAGCAAATTGCACATAAAATGTTGACACGGGAATATTTTATCTTTATTAGAAATCTGGTAAACCTTAAAGTTTTCATTTAGCAAGCTTGTGACTTAGTAATTTTTATCTACTCAACATAGAATGAAGGCTGGTCTTACAGAGGGAGAAATTGACATTTGTTCTGGGAAGCAATTATAAGACCCGGGGTCAGGAGGTTCCAGGTTTAAAATACAGATAGCTTTTCTAACTACTTGCACAAAATACTTCTGAGCTCTGCTCTTAAGTTTGTTGCTCTCCTTTCAACCTTCTATATTTTTCTAGTTATCTTACTAATTGCTGAGCCTGAATGTGATGTGGACCTTTCCTATGGAAACAACCTGTAGCAAGCAGTATGGAAAATTTGCTTTATGGGTTTTCGGCCCTTGACGCCTCTCAGTGTTATGTAGTATCTTACTTGTATTTTAAATACTAGATAATCTTGTCTGCTTTTATGTCCTTCCTTTTGTCCTTGTAGTTATGGACTCGCTCTCTTTAATTAAGCTGATAATCTCCTTGAAATGGGGAAATTCTTATTTGAAAAGTCCATTGATAGCTTCTTATGGCAGTTATCCTTTCTAGATATCCAGTTTGTTGGTGTATCATTGTAATAGCAGTCTCTTATGTTTCTTCATATTTCTGTGGTATCAGTTATAACGTCTCCTCTGATTTTCATTTCTGATTTTATTTATTTCAGTCTTCTCTCTTTTTTTCTTAGTTTAGTTAAAGTTTGTCAGTTTGGTTTTATCTTTCCAAAAAAGGAACTCTTTAGTTCCATTGATCTTTTCTTTTGTTTCTCTGATGTATACTTCATTTCTTTTTGCTTTGACCTTTATTGTTTCCTTCCTTCTGCTGACTAGACCCACTCTTTTTTGTTCACTTTTCTTTTTTTCACCCTGACTAGATAATTTCTAATGGCCTGTTTTTGAGTTCACAAATGTCCATTATTGATGTTCTGTATTGCATTTTTCATTGAATTCATTATATTCTTCAGCTTTAGAACTTGTGGGTTGTTTTTTTTTTTAATGATTTCTCTCTGTTGAACTTATTTTGTGTATTGTTTTCCTGGTATTGGAATCTATCTCTTGATTTCAATTCTATCTGTATTTTCTAGTAGCTGTAGAGCTTCCTTAAAATCATGATTTTGAAATCATTATCAGGAAATCATAGCTGTCCATTTCTTTGGGGTCAGTTACTGGAAAATTACTGTGTTTCTTTGGTGATGTCATTGTTTCCTTAAATCATATTTCTTATAGCGTTGTGTTGATGTTTGTGCATTTGATTGATAAGTCACCTCTACCAGACTTCACAGACTGGTTTTAGTGGGGAGGGAGAGGCCTTCACCTGCCATGGGGACAAGGGTGTTGGAAGTTTGCATATGATGGTTCCAGCTCTTGGGAAGGCCCATCAGCCTAGTGTATGTTCAGCTCCATCTGCTGAGGTCATTGTCGATTAAGATTGCAGGGGTCCTCAACAGCCCATTCTCCAGGTGTCTGCAGCGGCAGTGAAGGCTGTTGAGGTCTTTGATGGCAAAGGCTGCTGGGGACCTCCTGATCTCTCTATCTCTCTCTCCCCCTCAATGGGGTGTGACATTGCCGAAAGATCCCTGCTGGCATTGGATCTGGCTTCAGGGTATCCTTGCCTTGGCAGTGGTCCTGAGGCTTGGATCACCTTGGGTCAGAACCAGGAGCGGAGCATGTATGCTCACAGAGCGACGGCAGTCTGGAGTCTGGTGTGCTGGCTAGCCTGCAGTGTCAGTGACTGAGATGTGAACGCATGCAGAACCACCATGGAATCAAGGTCTGGAGTGTGGGTGCATGTGGAGCAGCCAGAGTTCTGGCGTCCTGGATGTGCACCGAGTTGGAGATTGGGGCTGGCAGCCCTGTTCCTGGGGTGGGGACACAGCGGCGTCTTCTGGGAGGGGTGCAGCGGCATCTCCCTCCCTAGGAGGTCAGTATCAGCAATGGCTGTTGGTTACCTCAGTGGTAGAAGCCGTCAGTTTCCTCTGCAGAGTAGGCGGCTGGAGTCCGTGCCAACAAGTACTGCACAGTCCTCTGCTGTGCACGTGGCAGGGGCTCTGCAGCTGTCATGAAGGCTGTTGAGGTCTTCCAGGTGCTCGGTGGCAACGGCTGCCAGGCTCCTCTGCAGAGCGGGCCACAGGGGACCACACTGGCACCCACGTACATTGGTAGCCTTTACCCTCCTTTGTTTGTAGCCGTTTCCAGGCGTCTCAGCTAAGCCTACCTCCCTGGTGATCCTTTCTATGGTTATTCATCTTTTGCACCACTGTGTTGCCATAGCTTCTTATTTGACTCTGATCCTCCCAGGGCTATTTTCATTTCCATAGCTGTGGCATACAAAGACAGGTATCCCTATCATAAAATGTCATAAAGTGGTTATTGTTATAAAGTGGTTCATAACCTCATATTATCCTTCAGAGATCTGTGGGATGGATCTGCAGTGATGCCCCCTCACATTCCTGATACTGGTAATTTTCCTCATCAGTCCAGAAAGGACTTAATCAGTGTTTTTGATCTTTGCAAAGAACTAGTTTTTTTGCTTGATTGATTTTGTTTGTTTGTTTGTTTCATCAACTTCTGCTTTTATGTTTGTCATTTCCTTTCTTCAGCTTGCTTTGTGCTGAAGTGCTTTGTCTTTTCCTAGTAACTTTCTAAGGTTGAAACTTTCCTTGTAATCATTTGTTGAGAGTGTACTTGGCTGACAGTGATTTTAGCCTTGTCTTAAAATTATCTTCTTGTCCTCTTTAACAAAAATGTTATTTTTTTTATGTTTGTTTATTTTTGAGAGAGAGAGAGACTGAATGTGAGCAGGAGACGGGCAGAGAGAGATAGAGGGGGAAACACAGAATCTGAAGCAGGCTCCAGGCTCTGAGTTGTCAGAACAGAGCCCGACATGGGGCTCGAACTCATGAACGGTGAGATCATGACCTGAGCCGAAGTCAGATGCTTAACCGACTGAGCCACCCAGTCGGTTAAGCACCCCAAAATGTTATTCTTTGTAGGATTCATTTTTTTCTTTTTCAGTACTCTAAGGGTGTCTATCTGGCTGACATAGTTTCTTTCTTTTTTTTTTTTTTATGTATATATATTTTTAATTTATTTCTAAGAGAGAGAGAGAGACAGCGTGAGCAGGGGAGGGTCAGAGAGAGAGGGAGTCACAGACTGAAACAGGCTCCAGGCTCTGAGCTGGCAGTCAGCACAGAGCCCGACGCGGGGCCTGAACCCACGGAACCATGAGATCATGACCTGGGCTGAAATCAAGAGTTGGTCGCTTAGCTGACTGAGCCACCCAGGTGCCCCTAAATCTCATCTTTTTATATGGCTCATTTATCCATGAGCATATATGTCTCATAAAAAAGAAATATTAAAAATCAACTCATAGATTCTCCCCATCTATATATGAATACAGTATTTTAATTTGGTCAATGTCATTGATCCATTCACTTAATAAATATTTATTAATGCCAGGCTTTGTATTATTTCACACACAGAGGGAATCAGCAGTAAACAAAACTAANTTTTTTTTTTTTTTTTTTTTTTTTTTTTTACAATTTTACTATTCAGAGCATGAGCATGGGAGGGGCAGAGAGAGGGAGAGACACAGAATCTGAAGGAGGCTCCAGGCTTTGAGCTGTCGGCACAGAGTCTAATGCTGGCCTCGAACTCACAAACCATGAGATCATGACCTGAGCCGAAGTCGGGTGCTTAACAGACTGAGCCACCCAGGCGCCCCTCAGTGCACTAATTCTTTTCTCTGCCGTGTCCAGGGTACTGATAAGCTTCTTAAAGGAATTCTTCAAATATGATAGCATATTTTGCTAACGTTTATATTTTCTTTTTATACTTTTCTCTGTTTAAATTCCCCATCTATTCATGTGTGCTGTCTTACCTTTTTAACCAGATCCTTTAATATATTAATGTAATCTGTAGTTGAGCCAGGTTTGGATTTGGTTGTTCTGTTTACCTTCAGGGTACCACTGTATTGGAAGACCTAAAATTTCATCTACTGCCTTGACATCTTTGAGCCTCACTGGGCCCCAAAAACTTAACTGTGAGTTCCACTACTTTTGCCAGCTATATCCTTCACCCAGCAGGAAAGACCCCCACTTGCCCAGTTCTCGCACCCCCTCAGCCTTCAACCTAATGGATTTCACTTCTCTGCCAGTCCTCAGAATTACTCAGACAGGCCAGTCACATCTTCCCCTGGGGACTCTCTTCAGAACCAGGGCACATCTCACTCTCTTGTCACACAAAACCTCATTTCCCCAGCCCCTGGTGACCCACCGTGGCTCTACATGGTGTCATCTTCTCCTGGGCTGTATCTGTGACTAATAAACCAATCAGTCTCCTCTGTTTTGTCTTCAGTGTCATGTGTTGTACGTCCTGACCATCTGATAATGTTTTGAGGGGCAGGTTCCTCCTTCACTGAAGGGTTAAATAGGAGGTGATCTGAACATCCACGGACTTTAAATTCTTACCTATGCTTAATGCAGGGCCTGGAATGTGGGAGGGTTTCTTAAGTGCTCCTTTCTCAACCTCAGCAGGCCCAGGACTACAAGGCCTCTCTCCACATTTTGATAAGTTGTGTTTTCATTTTCTTTCCATCAAAGTATTTTTCATTTTTCTTTCTGATTTTCTTTTTTGACTCATGGCTTATTTAGAGGCAAATTCCACATATTTGCATTTTTTTACCTATTTTTGTTACTGAAGTCCAGTTTAATTATGTTGTGATCAGAAAACATACTTTGTAAAAAAATCAAATTTTACTTTTTTGAGATGTGATTGATTTTCATCTAGTATATGGTCTTATTATGGTGAAGGTTTCATGTGCTCTTGACAAGAAGAGATATTTTGCTATTTGGTGGAATGTTCTATAAGTGCTACTTAGGTCAGATTTATTGATGGTGTTCAAGTCTTCTGGAGCCTTACTGATTTTTCTGTCTACCTGTTCTGTTGTGTGTGTGTGTTTTTTTTTAATGTTTTATTTATTTCTAGGAGAGAGAGAGAGAGACAGTGTGAGCAGGGGAGGGTCAGAGAGAGAGGGAATCACAGACTGAAACAGGCTCCAGGCTCTGAGCCGGCAGTCAGCACAGAGCCCGATGCGGGGCTCGAACCCACGAACCGCGAGATCATGACCTGAGCGAAAGTCGGACGCTTAACCTACTAAGCCACCCAGACGCCCCTACCTGTTCTGTTGTTGAGAGAGCAGTATTAAAAGTCTCTAGCTATGGGGGCGCCCATAGCTGTTTTTTTTCTGTTTTTCTTTTTAGTTGCAATAGGTTTTTGCTTTGATTATGTTGAATTTCTGTTATTAGGTTCATTCATTCAGCATTTAGGATTACATTCTTGTAATGGATTGACCTTTTTGTCTTTACATCATACCTCTTTATCCCTGGTAATATTCCTTATGGTAAAGTCTATTAATATAACCATTCCCGCTTTATTTTATTGATCACATGGTATATCTTGTTTCCATTACTTTATTTGTATCTTATTTATGTTTGAACTGAGCTTTTTGTAGACTGAATACAGTTGGATCTTTTTTTTTAAACCATTCTAACAATCTTTACCTTTTACATGGATTGATTAGACCATTTACCTTTAATGTAATTATCAATAACATAAGTTTTGGTTTAAACCAGTCATCTTACCATTAATTTTCCATTTGCCCCATTGTTCTTTGTTCTTTTCCCTCTTTTAAAATTTTTTAAATTATTTTTTTAATATTTATTTTTGAGAGAGAGACAGAGCACAGTTGGGGGAGGGGCAGAGAGAGAGAGAATGAGAGGGAGACACAGGACCCGAAGCAGGCTCCTGGCTCTGAGCTGTCAGTACAGAGCCCAAACACAGGGCCCCAACCCATGAACGGTGAAATCATGACCTAAGCTGAAGTCATATGGCTAACCCACTGAGCCACCCAGGTGCCCCTTAAATTAATTTTTTTATTCCAGTTTTATTTCTGCTAGTGGCTTATCAATTAAACTTTTGTTTGTTTAGTGGTTTACACTATGCATCTTTAATGTCTTACAGTCTGTCTTCAGTCAAATCCACTTAGATCACACAGACTATAAGTACCATGTGATTGTGATGCCTGGCAGGTTCCATCCATAGAGCATGTGACTCTTGATCTCTATCATGAGTTCATCCATCCCATATTGAGTGTAGAGCTTACCTAAGAAAGAAGAAGAACGATGTGACAATACATTTTCAATTTCTCCCTCCCATTCTTGTGCTTTTTTTGTCATACATATTTCTGCCTATGTTCTAAATTCCACAGTGAATTGTTACTTCTTTTGTTTTAGACAGTGATCTTTTTAAAATGATTATTTAAAATAACCTTTTTCCCTCATATTTATTTGCATATTGTTCATTTATTTTTTTAAGTGTTGCCATTTCTGCCTCTCTTCATTTCTTTGTGTAGATTCAAATCACTTCACCACCAACAGGGGCTTTCTCAGGTTTCCTGCTCTGGCCCAATTCTTTCTGATGAACACCTGATGGAGACCCGTGGCAAACGTGGATGGATTCCACCGGTGTCTAGGGCTCCCATAGATGCTAAACAGTTATCCTAGGTCACTGTTGACCTTTAATAATTTGGTACATTTTTGGCTGTTTTCTTCTTACTTTGTTTTTATTTGTTTTGTTTGTTTATTATTGGTGCTTTGCCAAAGGAAAAATAGCTCATGAGTCTAGTCTCTGAGTACTGAGTGACTTTGGAATCCGGTTCAGTTGATTGTCTTGTACCATTAGCTCAAGAATAGTATGGTTTTGTAGGTTATCTGTTTTTTTTTCTTCTCATTTTCAAGGTGGGGATGACATAGTTTAACATGGGGCCTACTTGGGATTCTCTGCCCCTCCTTCTCTCTCCCCCCTCCTGCCCTTCTCCCCCACTCACACTCACTCACTCTTTCTCAAAAAACAAAAACAAAAACGGAATTCCTTCCTGCTGAAGGAAAATAATTATGACAAACGAGGAAGAAAATATAGATAGCTTCTTTAGTCTACCTTTCTCTTTTCTGAAACTCATCCTGAGGCCTTCATTGTCATTCAAATTAGAATCCCCCCAATGTTCTCTCCTTATTACCTTCGATAACCAGTTCTTAACTTGGTAGCATGACCCAGACCTTTATTCCTGAGGGTTCTGAGCCCTGAGTCAGAAGCTGTTCTGTGAGAATAAGTCATTCAAAAGTCTGTGGTTGGTATTGCTAGCCAATGCATTACAGGCAGAAAAGGCAAATTGTATTTAGAATAATTGTCTATTGAGCAAGAACAAGATGTCTGTTCATTCCAGGATTTTGAGAGTCTAATGTAACTGACATGTTACCAGGAATGGTGCCATGTTGGAAGCCCATGTCCTCTGTTCCTTGCAGATTGGACACCTGGAGTAATCAGATCAGATTTGGCGAGAGGACATCCATGTGGGGGTACCCATGTGTAATCTCTGCTTGCCTCTGTGTGTCCATTTTGTTTATGTATCCTTTGAGCAATCATTGTTGTGGCTAGAGAAAGAGGCTGGCTGATAGGCCTAGAGGAGATTATCTTGCCCTCTTGATATTAATGAGAATCTTCTCTCCAAGAGGAGCCTTTGATAAGCATGGGGACAGTAAAGATCCTCACACTTGGGCCCTTTCAGAGGTGTCTGCCCCACAAACCTCTTTCCTAAGCCTCATTGTTACCAACCTTCTAATCTGCTTCCTTTCAAATCCCTCCCTGATCATTATGACAGGTAGATAACCACTCTCCGTGAGTGAATATGGATTAGTACCTCTGGCCACCTTTCCTTCAACTCAGACTAGAAAACCAGATGGTGACTCTAATGTCCTGCCCTCCCAAAGGATCTCCCGTCTTCATTGTGCTTTAGAGACAGTCCTGCTCAGGGCCAAAATGCTGCAGCAGTAGAATTCTGGCTGGTGCCAGTATATCATGCAAAGCCATCTGCCACATTCAGATTTTTTTCCCTCCTCACTTGATAGGTCATAGGGAACTCCTGTGGAGCTGTGAGGGTTGAGGGAGAAATGATAGCACAACATGAGTAGACACACTGGGACATGTCATTTGTGCCTTCAAGACTGTATTTCTTGATAAGAGAGTGGTGGTGCTGAGCACAGCTGATTAGGACTTGATGGCTCAGATCAAATCTGCCTGATGATGAAGCTCAGGTTACATAGTCACCTGACTTCCTTTTCTCAGGCTTCCAGATAATTGCATGCCAGAGGCTGTTTCTCAGAATAGTTAGCAGAATAAGTGGTCTTAGCTTGCTTGAAGCCTAGGGGACATGCCTGTGAGCATCCTCTGAGGTCTTGCCTTGTGAGGTCTTGTGGTCGGCTCCTTACCCCATCCCTCACTTTCAACTCCATTAGATTGCTTGTTGGGTTGTAGAAAACTGTTTCGCTTTAGCTGCAATGCACATACATGCCAGTGGCTGTGCTGATTTGGTCTTTTAAAGAGGCCACATTTGTAACTGCTGTTGGAGTTGCTACCCAGTTAAGCTTAAAATAAGTTCCTTTCTCAAAACTCCATCTGTTTTCTCTTTATAGCAAACAGGTGAGTGAAATGTGGAGGTGACTAAAGAATGGTGTGGATATCGTACACGTGGATTTCAAGCAGAACCCTAGCTGCAGTGGGGTCTGGGAAGTGCTATTTTGACTCTAATCCCGACAATGCATTAGGGCAGGCTAGCTAGAAGTCAGAGAGAGTGCTGAGTCACCTATCTGTAAAATCTGACGCAGCCGCTAAAAACTGTAACCGTTGACAGTCATTTGCTTGAAGGTTTGATCTGTTCCGATTTGCATCTGGGATGACTGACAGATTTCCCTTTACAGAGGGACGTACTCAATATATTCTTTGGTTGTGAATCTCCTTAGTAGCAGCTCATTTGGCCAGTTTTGAATAATTATGGAGAATAGCAAAGGGTAATAAACTTCCTGTTTTTCAAACGCAAGCCACACTCAGCTGTGTAGTCTTTCTGAGATTTAGGTTTTTATTTTATTTACAACTACAGAGGTCAAAATAAAGCAGTTTTGGAAAAGATGAGAGCTGTTACGCTAGAGACCAAACGACACCAAGTTGTAGCTGGCCTTTGGAAGTTAAAGTAACTTAGGCTAAATCCATTGAAGTGTCATTTCTAAACATTGTACTACTTCATTCCACCTGTAGCCTGAGAATAACTTTCCTGAATAGGTCCTGAAATATTATCAGTCATAATGTCTATAATCTTTAACAAAATGGGAGGTGAGAAATAGACTGTGTTTTATTAGAGTCTCTCACTGAATATAACTTGTTTGGGGTACGCTTTGCTAAGAATTTAGTTTTCTCAAACACCTCTCCTAGAGTGAATCTTCTGTGTGGATATTTGCCTCATTATTTTAAAAAAGTGGTTTAAAAAAGAAAACCATTCCTACAGCACCTTGTTTTCATTATCCTGTTAAAATATTTTTTCAGCTCCCTTGGAAATCATTGACTAGCATCATTGAATATTATTACATGTGGAAAACTACTGACAGATATGTGCAGCAGGTAATTTTCTTCATATTGCTACTAGTAATACTATTGCATTAAAGTGAGCTTTCTGTTTTTATATCTTAATATTTCTTAGCAATACACTTAATTTTAAATTTGTTGGCTTTCTCTTTTCTATACTGTTTTTAACAACCTTAAGATGTTATTTTAGGATTTGAGTCCTAGTATTTTCTGACTTCAAAGTCACTATGATAAATATTTTGGAAAGATGACAGGGAGAGATGCCATTAGAGAGGTAGCATTATCCTTGCAGGTGGCCTGGTGCTTCATCTCTTTCTGAGGATAGTTGATGGGAATGATCTAAGATGTGAGGTTATTTTATGAAGTATTAGAAATTTAGACCACTGCCATCAACCATACAGTTTGAGATATTTTAAAAGATCATCTGAAATCTCCTTAGATGACATTTGTGTCGTACTTGTATCTCCTAAGTCTTTGACTTTAACTGTTAGTCTTACTAGTTTGATGCTCTGGTAAGGTGCATAAATTTTTCTCCAAAATTATTTCTAAAAGCAGGGAATCTTTTAATTTTGAGTCCTTCCTAAATGTTCCAAGTTGAGGTAATTCTCTCAATTTCTTACTTTGAGTACTATTCCTTTTGAGGAAAGGGGCATTTTCCTTAGTGACTTCAGTTACTTGTTTTTACATTCTAGTCACAGGTTAGAGCTGGTAAAAAAAGGAACAAGTATATTTAACAGTCATTATTTTCCCTAAGTTATGTGATCACATAGTGACAAGTGTTGGATATTAAATGATCATAGTGAGTAAGGTCATGAATAGTGAAGAGATACCCATGGCTTGTTGAAAAATTGAAGTGTTTATTCCAAACAACATAGGGAGAAGTGAAGATCATGTACTCTGGACACTTGCATGTTTCAAGGCAAAAAAATTCCCTAAAGATGGTGGAGATGATGGCATTATGGGAAGTTGAAATAAATAAATAAAATTTTTGAAGAGAATTATTTCCAAAAATTTTCACTCTGTCTCTAAAAGTTTTAAGTTATCCCTTTAAATGTTTTTTGTTTTCTCCTCATTAAGAAAATGGATGAATGTCTTGTATTCTGGTTTGCCTTTGTTTTGGATATCTACAATATTTTTTTTCCTTCCTTGTTTATATTCACTTACTGTGTTTATCATTTTCTGGATATGATTATGTAATCTTACCCCTATTCCTTTCCTACATTTGGCCCTTAAAATCTGATGTGAATTCAGCCAGGCTTTAAAGTTTATTGCATATCTCTTGACATTTGAGGATAAGTGTTTATTCAATTGTACTTAGGAGAGTTGTTATCTCTGTCTTTTGCATAGACTTTGAAACTAATCATTTTCGAAGAAAAAAAAATTTTTTAAATAAAAGAATGTGTGTGTTTCTCTCAGAAGGGCTGTAAAGAAAGTAGAAACTAAATTTGAAAAGAAAAAATGGTCACCTGTGAGTCCTGTTTACTCAGTCAGGGAGCAGTGGAAACTGGACTTGTTTACGGCTTTATTTTTAAAACCTGTGTCTAAAATGTTATTAATACTTGCAGTCTGTACCTCAGAATCTAGTCACTTGTCTTACAGATTAGTACAGTTTAAAAATGTGTACATGAAGGGAAAGGCCCTTCTTAAAATGGCAGTTTTTGAATGATGTTTTAATATTTCATTTTCATGTGACTTTTCTAAGACAATGAAGTGGCAATAATTAGGCATTGCATGTAAAATTTTTTATCTGTCTTTTGATCAGAAACGTCTAAAGGCAGCAGAAGCTGAGAGTAAACTGAAACAAGTATATATCCCAACTTAGTAAGTAATGGAAATCTTTTTAAATATTTGTCAGTATTTATTCTATCAAAACAAAATATGTCATCTTGGTCAGTTTCAGACGAATTTGGATTTCTTTGTGTATCTTATTTTCTTCCATTACAAAGCATGAGACTTGCTGTCCATTATACCACTACAGTGATTTTTGTTTTCAGAAAGAAAGTTGGCTGGTGGGCGAAACCCCAAGGAGACAAAAGGACTAACCGGAAACGACCATGCAGTATACTCCTAGGAAAGTTGCAGGGACAGCATCAGAAAACTAACCTGTGAAACTCTATTACTTGAAACTGTGTTATGGGATGGATTTTGGGGAGTGGATAGTATGCATTGCCCTTTTGAAGTTGTTTATTTGGTTGAGGATTTTACATTGCTTGCTTGGGAGACGGGTAGAGGAAGTAATAAGAACCGTGCTTTGTTAATGTTGGATAAGTAAAGAATAGGTATGACCTGTCTCACGTGTCTGTTGTTCCTTCGATCATCATTATTTTAGGGCTCAGGAAGCACTATCATCAGAATGAATGCCAGTTTGCTTTTCATTTGCTACGTTTTAAATGAATTATAATCTTTTTTTTTTTTTTTTTGAGGTCTTTGGAGTTTGTTGTTCATTTGTTCAGGAAAATTTAGTTTATACCAAGCACCGCGTATATAGTGATATACTAGGTTCTTTGGGGATTAAAGTGAAATTTGCTCAAAATGCTATGTACTGCTCCAAGATTTTTCTCACTCTTTGTGTTCAGTGCAGTTGTTTTACACATAGAGTTTTGTTTACTGAATTTTGATGTATTAATATACATTTTTTAATATAGGAAGCCTCATAGACCATGAATTGTGATTTTTTTAAATAATATTTTTATCTTGAGGCAGATAACATGTAATTTACAGGATTCATAATTTTTATTCAGAGCGGTTAATGTCCCTTCTGCAGTAGTTTCCAGTATTTTAGAATATTTTATTTGAGTAATTTGTAAAAGAGCAACTCCCCAAAGAGAACCATGTTGTGATTCATGTGTCGGATTTTCAGAGGCAAGCACGGCAGCTTTCTCGTGCACTGTAGTGCTGTCACAGCCAAGGACAAGTACCTTTAACCAGTTTTCACCTGCTAACCCAGATGATCGTTTTGTTACGTTTTGCATGGAGTTTGTTGGAGTCTCGATTTCTCGATTTTTTTTTTAAAGACCAGTGCACTCTAGTCTGCAGCCCGTATCTGACCTGATGCCTGTTTTCTGTAAAGAAGGTGTCGTTAACCCACCCAGACTTACTCATTCGTGTATAGTTGTAGTGTATGACTGCTTTCGTGCTTCTGTGGCAGCGTTCAGTGGTTGTGACAGAAATCGTAATATTCACGGAGCTTACAGTATTTACAGTGCCACCCTGCTCTAAGTGAACGACTTTTGAAGACCAAGACAGTTTCTAGGCATAACTTTAAAAAAAGTTACATAAATCTTTACCTAAACAGGAGGTATGAAGTTACGTCGAGTTGGATAAGAATCTGAGTACTTTGAAGAATTTCACAATTAACTCTGAAATTGAGCATTTTGAAACAAATAATAGATTAAGAATTAGGTTATGCTATCATTCTTTTCAGCCTGGCTGTCTCCTATATGCAGAGCAGAGTACACTCTGTTCAGTACTAGAGATGGAAAGGTTAAGAAGACAGACTGCATTCTAGTGTGGGGAAGACAATGCCAAACAGTTGCCTAGTGTGACAAGTGCTGTGATGGAGAATAGAATAGCTTTTATGAGAATTTATACGGGGGACCGGATTCAGTTGATGCTGTCAGGAAAGATTCCTTGTGGAAGTGAGTTTGAATACTCTGGAGGAGGAAGAATTAAGCAGGTGATAGAGGCTTTCCAAGTCAAGGGGATCCTGAGATAGGAAGGGGGCAAACATAGTTAAGGAGCTGAGAGAAAGGCATTGTAGCTTATATAAAGAGACTGGTGAGCTGTGGGAGACTGGCGTGGTAGGCAGGGGCTTACCTATCTGATGAATAGTGGAAATGGATTTTAAACAAGAAAGTGTCATGATCAAATTCATACTTTAAGATCACTGGCTATATTTTAGAAAATGGTTTGGGGAAGGGAAGTAATAGTGGAGGTAAGGAGACCAGTTTTGAAGTTCTTAGAGAAGAAACATGACTGTAGCTTGGCCTGGGGTTGTGGCCCTGGAAACGGTCCACCACTTGGAGGTGATTGACTTGTATGGAGAGATAGAGGGGAGATGTCAAGCTAGAGTCCCAGATTTCTGGCCAGCACAACAAGGTGCATTGCTGTGCTCTTCACCAAGCTAAGAAACTGGCAGAGAAGCAAGATAGGTCATTCTCAATTTGCTCTATCCAAAAAGAGGTGTTGAATATGATGTCGGATATATTGGTCTCAAGCTCAAGGGAAAGTTTTGCACTAGAGACACGAATTTGAGCTCCATCGTCATATCATATTGTGTTTGAAACTATGGATGAGCTTCTTAAGGAAGAGCAATAAGATAAAGGGTCTTGGACCAAGCTTGAGGAAATCTAGGATTTACCTATCAAATAAAGTAGGACAGCAAGGTGAGTGCATTATCAACAAAAGCTGAGAGAGGAGTGTATTTCAAGGAGAGAAAGAGATTAATTAGTTATGTCAGATGTTGATGAAAAATAGCCTGGGAATTTAGCAACATGGAGGTAGGTCACTGGTCGTCTTTAATGTAGTGGTGAAGGCTGCATACGAACCAAGGAACTGCAGACCGTGAGGACTGGCAGCTCTCAACAAAACTGGCTGGAAAGGCCAGTTGAGAGTGCTCCAGCTCTTGGCTTTGCGGGGTAGGTTGGAGAAGAGTAACAGGTTTTTTTGTTTGTTTTGTTTCGTTTTGAATGTTTATTTTTGACAGAGAGAGAGAGCGTGCGAGCGAGCAGGGGAGGGGCAGAGAGAGAGAGGGAGGCACAGAAGTGGAAGCAGGCTTCAGGCCCCAAGTTGTCATCCCAGAGCCCGATGCAGGACTCGAACTCATGAACCAGTGAGATTATGACCTGAGCCAAAGTTGGGTGCTTAACCAACTGAGCCACCCAGGCGCCCCAAGAGAATTTTTTAAATAGGAGAAATAGGTTTACATGACCATGAAGAGGGTCCAGGAAAGAGAACCAAAGGTACAAAATTCTCAGGAGGGCACTGGGAGTAGAATCTGGAATACAGATGAGGGAAGAGAGGTTTGAGTAGTAGATTAAAGGACAGTTTTGTATAATGGAGCTTGAAAAACCTTTTTAGTATGTTTGTCTTAACAGAGTAAAAATTTATTCAAATGGTCACTGACGTTGGTCACCTGAGAATTAACCTGTAGGTACTTGGTTTTGCAGAACTAATTTTAAGCGATTCACATGCCTGTAGTCATTGAGTCTTTGCACTGTTGTCCTCCTTTCACGATTATTATAATGAAGATCAGTGTTCTATTCAGTCTAATAACATTTGAAATTGAATTAAACAGCTAAAATTGTGTTTGCTTAAGGCAACTCAACTGTAAATTTGTATTAGCTCTTCTTTAACACATATATTTAGCCCTGGGTTAAATGTCAGAAATTTTCATATTTTGGGGGAAGCCTTCTGAGATAAGTCATTTGACTTAAGGGGCCATCATTTCTATCTATATACAGTAGATTTTTAAAAATCAAATATTATTACACACCCTTGGAAATCTTAGTCATTATAAATCATCACTTTTAATTGTGTACAGTTTCAGCTGCAAACTATAAGAAGAAAAACGCATTCTGTGTTGTTTAAAATATATTTTAGAAAATGATTTGTCTTGAAAACACATTGCTGGCACAGATTAGAAGTGTAAATAATAGCCCTGTTACAGAATGGGGACCTCGGTGCACATGGAGTTAAATGATTTCTTCTGGGGTGGTGGTGGGGTGTCACCCAAGAGTTATAGTAATAATGCCAGAAAGAAATTGTAATTTGCCATCAGGCCAAGTTTATACAATAGGCTTTCACTGGTAAATGGAATTGAAGAAACAGGGAACATCAAAGAGGAAACTCCTGAGCCAACTCTGTGTTGAAACTCCCCACTGTGTTGGTAGTTTTGAGCTCTCATTATTTCGGTAGCCGTGGGGAGACAGACTATGGTCTGCATTTAGTCATTCAGCATTCATTGCTAGCAAATAGTTGGCTACTTTATTTTGCTTATCTTCTGTCGAATAAAAAGAAGTAGAAGCTCCTCTAGAATGAAAGCTCCTTGAGGTCAGGCAGTTTTAATTACTAGGCACTCAATAAATATATGTTTAAGCACTGGGTGTTATATGTAAACCAACTTGACATAAACTATTTAAGAAAAAATAAATAAATATATGTTTAATGAATTACAAGTTTATTGAGAGCATGTCATGTGTACCGTGTTGTATTCTTGAGCCTGGCTTTATAAGCAGGGGAGTTAGCTTACCCTAAATGGGGAAAAGTTAGCCGTGTTTGCACAGTACATAGAAGGTAATCTGGGCTACCTATTTCTAAGGAAGTATGGCCTCTGGAATTTACATGTAGATACTTGATAGGTGTCTCCTTTTTCCTCTTCCTAAAATGTTTTCTTAAAAAGAAAAACCTCGAAATAGGTTTGTTGGCTTTTCTAATTTAAAATGCTATGGTAGTTTTCCTCATAAAAATTCAAACGTAGTAGAAATTATTATCATAAATGGTTAAATCTCCTGGAATGCCAGCAGCGTACACTCTAGAGATTGGCTCTGTTGACATCCACAATGTCTTTGTTGAACGTGTACGTGGCTTTTGTGCAGTTCCCGCAAGAGCCAACTCAGAGTCAACAGCTTTCACACCTGTAGCCGGAATGGCACAATGGTTTTCTCTAAACACAACACACTGCTTTTGGCTGTATTTATTTGATCCAAAAAATTATCTTTTAATCTCAGGAGACTCCATGATAAGTGATAAAGCTTAGGAGCTTGTATCTTTCAAAAGCAGCAGAAGGTATTCTAAGGAAATTGTATTTGGATGGAGAAGAGCCAATGGCTCTATTGACTTTTTGAGTAACAGGCATAAGAGATTGGTTTTTACAGGGCCTTGTTTTGCAAAGATAAATGGTTTGAGTTCATTTTAACACCTTATAGTTACCAGCTTATTTCTTACCTACTAAACCTTCAGATGTTTATACATAGTTAAGTAGATATAGAGACTTTTGCCTTGTTATACAAGTCATTTTTATCACCTATTTCATTGAAAGCAGCAAACCAAATCCCAACCAAATATCCGCCAGCAATGGCAAACCTGGAGCTGTGAATGGAGCTGTGGGGACCACATTCCAGCCACAGAACCCTCTCTTAGGGCGAGCCTGTGAGAGCTGCTACGGTAAGACTTCTCCAGCAGGGCTTTCTTCTCCCCTTTGAAGTGCATCTGCTCTGGCACTGAGGGGCGGGAGTGGGGATATCCTCTTGCAATATCTGAGGCGCACTGCTCAGAGAGCAGTGGAAGCAATAGATGTCTGTCCTTTCCTTCTGCCTGAACACTAAATTTCGATATTGGGTTTCCTTTGCTTTGCTTCTGTGGGGTGTTGTATTAGTTGAGTATTCCACAGCCGTGTTTGCCAAGCCACGGAGTGGTTACTAGCTTTGTGCAAGCCACGGTCCCACAAAATATACCAAATCCAATTCTGGAGTTTCTTAGTATACTTTGACAAATTAAAGGCTCCAGAAAATTCTGTCAGAAAGACCAGTGTGTGGATAAACTGCTATTTCTAATCAATCCCTAGACCAGATTCCCTCAGAGTGCACTGGTTTGGGAGATGCTGTTCTAGGGCGTTTGCTTTTGCCTTCAGGGCCCCAGTATATTTATCGGTATTTATCCATATTGAAACCTGTCAGACACTAACAGACATTATATTTGACCAGGATGTTAAATTGGTTTGGTGCGATGAAGTAATTGATACACTTTTTTTTTTTTTTTTTTTTGGTCATGTGTGTTAAGATCTATTTTTTAGGGGCGCCTGGGTGGCTTAGTCGGTTAAGCGTCCGACTTTCGCTTAGGTCATGATCTCACGGTTCGTGGGTTCGAGCCCCGCGTCGGGCTCTGTGCTGACTGCCAGCTCAGAGCCTGGAGCCTGTTTCAGTCTGTGACTCCCTCTCTCTCTGACCCTCCCCTGCTCACGCTGTCTCTCTCTCTCTCTCTCTCCTAGAAATAAATAAAAACATTAAAAAAAAAAAAGATTTATTTTTTTAAAAAATTAACAATAGAACTCCCCTATGACCCAGCAATAGCACTGCTAGGCATTTACCCAAGGGATATAGGAATGCTGACGCATAGGGGCACATGTACCCCAATGTTCATAGCAGCACTCTCAACAATAGCCAAAACATGGAAAGAGCCTAAGTGTCCATCAACGGACGAATCATCAACGGACGAATGGATCAAGAAGATGTGGTTTATCTATACGATGGAATACTATATGGCAATGAGAAAAAATGAAATCTGGCCATGTGTAGCAACATGGATGGACCTCGAGGGTGTTATGCTGAGCGAAATAAGTCAGGCAGAGAGGGACAAATACCATGTGTTTGCACATATAGGAGGATTAGGAGGAACTTAAAGGAGGACCATGGGGGAGAAGAAGGGGGGAAATGGTGGGGGAAAGGGAGAGAGGCAAACCATGAGAGTCTCTTGAATGCTGAGAACAAACTGAGGACTCCTTGGTGTTGGGGCGAGGGGGAGATGGGCATGGAAGAGGGCACTTGTGGGGATGAGCACTGGGTGTTACATGGAAACCAACTTGACAGTAAACTATTTGTAAAAAAAAAACAAAAACAAAAACAAAAAAAGCAAAATGATTTAATATTTTTAAGTAATCTGTATACCCAACATGGGGCTCATACTCAAAACTCTGAAATAAAGAGTCACATGCTCTACCAACTGAAGCTGCCAGATGCCCCTCACTTTTTGTATTTTTACATTTTTTAAAATCTTGACATGCCTGGATGGCTCAGTTGGTTGGGTGTCTGACTCTTGATTTCAGCTCAGGTCGTTATCTGTTCATGAGATGGACCCTCGCGTCAGGCTCTTCTGCTCTGACAGTGTGGAGCCTGCTCAGGATTTCCTCTCTTTCTCCCTCTCTGTCCCTCTTCTGAACGTGTGTGTGCACACACATGCATTTTCTCTCTCTCTCTTTCTCTTTTTCTCTCTCAAGATAAATAAACTTACAAAAATAAAATTTTCAAACAACAATATAATCTCTTAATGGACATTAATACATTGTAATCTATATGTCCTTATAATCAAAGTGGCCTGAAGAGGGAAGGAAACTAATATTGAAAAAAAAATTTTTAATGTTCTATTTTTGAAGACAGAGTGTGAGCGGGGCAGGGGTAGAGAGAGAGGGAAACACAGGATCTGAAGTAGGCTCCAGGCTTCAAGCTGTCAGCACAGAACCCAGCGTGGGGCTCAAACTCACGAACTGTGAGATTATGACCTGAGCTGAAGTCAAACACTCAGCTGACTGAACCACTCTGGCACAGGAAACTAATATTTATTGAAAGTCTACTTGGTGCCCAGTTTTTGTCTCTCAGCAGCTCTTTGGAAGGATAGACATAGCTTCCTGCCCTAAGGACATGGGGATGAAGAGCACTTGTACCTCTGCTCCATAGTCCATGCCAAGCTTCAGCATTAGAAAAGACTTTTATGGGGCACCTGGGTGGCTCAGTCGGTTGGGTGTCTGTCTTCGGCTCAGGTCAGGATCTCAGTCTGTGGGTTTGAGCCCTGCATCGGGCTCTGTGCTGACAGCTCAGAGCCTGGAGCCTGCTTCTGATTCTGTGTCTCCCTCTCTCTTTGCCCCTCCCCTACTCATGGTGTCTCTATCTCTCATAAATAAACTTAAAAAAAATTTTTTTAAGAGATTATATTGTTTACTTTTTTTTTTTAAAGATTTTATTTTTAAAGTCTAGAAAAGACTCTGAAAACTAGGCCATATAATTATCTTACCTGAGGGGCACCTGGCTGGCCCAGTCAGTTGAGCACCTGTCTTCAGCTTAGGTCATGATCTCACAGTTTGTGAGTTCAAGCCCCACGTCAGGCTCTTTGCTGACAGCTCAGAGCCTGGAGCCTGCTTTAAATTTTGTGTCTCCCTCTCTCTTTCTCTTCCCTCCTCTGCTCATGCTCTTGTCTCTCTCTGTCTCTCAAAAAATAAATAAACATTAAAAGAAATTACAAAAAGTCTAAAAAAAAAACCTATCTTACCTGAAACCAAGGAAAAGTGTGAGCCAAATCGCCGACTTCATAGAAACACCACATGTCTAACCACTTCTCTGCAGCATGGAAACACTAAAGGGTATTGTTGTTTTTGGAAAATTACATTCTTTTGGTCAAAAATTTTTATGTTTTGAACCATGGATGCCTTTGAATTAGGAACTCTTAGATATTGAAGTTTATATTTAAATGAAAATAAAAAGAATCCCACAGACAAATTGTGGCTTAATCTGTCTTTTATTATTTTTTTAATGTTTTAGTTATTTATTTATTTAAAATATTTTTATTTATTTCTAGGAGAGAGAGAGAGAGAGACAGCGTGAGCAGGGGAGGGTCAGAGAGAGAGGGAGGCACAGACTCTGAAATGGGCTCCAGGCTCTGAGCCGGCAGTCAGCACAGAGCCCGACGCAGGGCTCAAACCCACAAACCTTGAGATCATGACCTAAGCGAAAGTTGGACGTTTAACCGACTAAGCCACCCAGGCACCCCATAATGTTTTATTTATTTTTGAGAGAGACAGCATGAGCAGCGGAGAGGCAGAGAGGGAGACCCAGAATCTGAAGTGTCTTATTTTTTTTACTTTACCCCTTTTAGACTCCTATATGGAGTCTCACATACCCATTTAAATAATTATTCTGTCATTTTTATATGTGCATGACAAATGAGCAATTTTTATCTTATAATATTTAATTTATAGACTCCCTAAGTAATATTTATATAAAATGTATCTTATACATGTAAAATTTATCTTTATAGAAAGATAGGATTTGGTGTTTCTTTTTGTCAGTTTTTAATTTCAGGTAGTTATGCAAGGGAAAGATGTTTGTTGGCAAATATTAAAATGACATGGCATGATTAGCATGGGTAAAAGTGTATCTTTAGATATAAGTAAAATTTCATATTCAGAATACAAAATAGGTCCATGCCTGATATTTAGGATTCTTGAAATTTGTGTTAAAAAAATCAAATTATTTGACTTCAGTGTTTTAAATTACAAAAGGAATGGTTTTTGGGCTGCTGCTTGCAAGGAGTCCACCAGAAATAATGCACGATATGTACACCGTATTATTCTCGATAAACTAAGAAGCACTTTGGGGCACCTTTGGTGGCTTAACTTAGTTGGTTGAGTGTCTGACTTTTGATTTCAGGCTCAGGTCATGATCCCAGGGTCATGGGATCAAGCCCCATGCCTGGCTCTGTGCTGAGAAGGGAGCCTGCTTGAGATTCATTCTCTCTTTCTCCCTCTCTCTTTCTCTCCCTCCTTCTTTCCCTCCCTCCCTCTCCCTCTCTGCCCAACTTGCGTGCTCTCTAAAATAAAAATTTTTTAAAAACTAAGAAGCAATTTGATTATTATAGTCAGTATATTTTCTCTTTCTGACATTGGCTGGTGAACTTTTATTTGACACCTTGATGTGCTTTTGAACATTTTGACCTGATGAAGGTAACTTACTAGAGGAAGAGTATTCCTAGGCAAACTTATAGAATTATAAATGTTATGTACCTCATAAACTCAGTGTTTTAGTGTTAGTGTTTTCTATCTTAAACTTCTCATCCGTTGTGGGAATACTTTAAATGTTATGTGGCAGTAATTCAAGCTGCGTAACAAAGCCAATACAGGCTTGCAATATTTAGCTAAGTGATAAATCAGCTGAGTTATTAGGTCTTAAGCATTCTGTGATCTTGGCTGCATATGCTCACTTGATCTGGACTTATAGTCTTGAAAGGGATTCTGTTTTTATAAATTTTTTTTTAATGTTTTTTTTTATTTATTTCTAGGAGAGAGAGAGAGAGACAGCATGAGCAGGGGAGGGTCAGAGAGAGAGGGAGTCACAGATTGAAACAGGCTCCAGACTCCGAGCCGGCAGTCAGCACAGAGCCCGACGCGGGGCTCGAACCCACGAACCGTGAGATCATGACCTAAGTGAAAGTCGGACGCTTAACCAACTAAGCCACCCAGGCGCCCCAGGGATTCTGTTTTTAAACGGAGAAATATTAAAATAATTATTTTGCTCACTGATTAAAGAAATGGAAAACAGATACCTATTTCTTTCTTTCTTTCTTTTTTTTTTTTTTTACTTTATTTTGAGAGAGAGGGAGAGAGATAATCCCAGGTTGGCTCCACACTGTGAGCTCCATCTCATGAACTGTGAGACCATGACCTGAGCCAAAACCAAGAGTTGGACCTTAACCAACTGAGCCACCCAGGTGTCCCCAGATACCCATTTCTGGCAGATTTCTGCCCTAATCAGTGGGACCCCTCTGAGCACCTTAAACTCTGAGGTAGTTTCTGAACCATTGGTGTGGAAACCTAGATTTAGACTTTAAACACTAATATAATAATAATAATGATATCTTTCTGATAACTTATTTTCAGAAATGTACACAGTAGAAAGTATTTTTAATCAACAAAACTCCCTCGGTAATAGCACAGAATATTATATAGGATGCTTCATCTAATAGCCTCTTTTAACAGGAGCCACAGAAGCCATAGACACTCATATATATATAAATAAAAGGTTTAATGAATTCTGAGTCTTGAAAAAAACATGTGTGTGTTAGACTTTTATGTTTGTCTTAGTGGAGTGGGAAGAAAAATAACATTGTAAGCTAAATATGGCTTTGGAATATTTTTAAAATATTTGATGGGAGGTGTATTAATGTTAACAAATTCTATAGCATTCTTGTTTTTTGTGTTTTTCCTCTGTCTTTAGCTACACAGTCTCATCAGTGGTATTCTTGGGGTCCACCTAATATGCAGTGTAGATTGTGTGCAACCTGTTGGCTCTATTGGAAAAAATATGGAGGCCTGAAAATGCCCACCCAGTCGGAAGAAGAGAAGTTGTCTCCCAGCCCAACCACAGAGGTATATGAGTAATAGTCTTTTATGTTGAAATCTCATTTCACTGGCTAGGTCACTCCTTGGAAACAGAGGTACAGTATAAGATAACTTAAAAACAAACAGAGCTGTTTTTTGTAACTAAACATAGCACCACAATATCTAAGGTGGGCGTGGAGAGAGAGGCAGGGACGAATCAGAGTTTTTCAGGTATTCAAAATATTGGTCTTGTGTGATTACTCAGACAAAAGAACAATGTGTGTGGGAGGTATTAGCATAAGTAGAGAGCTTGCAAATTTAGTTTTTTTTTTTTTTTTAATAATTTGCAACTTTAAGTACTGTTGAAAATATGTCTTACTACAGAAAGTAGTAAATACAAATTGAACCTTTTTTCTGCCCTGGGCTATCATAGAAGGGACCAGAAAGTTGTATGGACTCAATCTTGAGGTGAACAACAGTTGAAGGAGGATTTTGACAAAATTCTCATAGATGGCAGCTACCAGGCAATGTGTACGTCTATAGACCTGTGTCTTCCAGAGAGGAGATTTAACACCACTGGGAATTTTTTTACTATTGTGAATGTGATTTTGGATTGTTAAGGTCCATTTAGAAACAAATATTGGAAGGCGTGCACTTGTGATGAGCACAGGGCAATGTATGGAAGTGCAGAATCACTTTGGTGTACACCTGAAACTAATGTAACACTGTGTAAACGAACTGGAATTAAAATAAAAACTTAAAAAAAACACAAAAATATGATCACACACTGTCCCACCCCCACACAGTTTTCTTCTCTCCTCCCTGACCCCCTTCCCAAAAGTGCATACTTTTAAATCCTGTCCTGTGGGGATAGAGTATTAAGTTCTGTGGAAAACATAAACATTGCCTTTTCTTTTGAGCCTGATGCAAACAGTGTTCTATTTTTCACGTGTCTGTTGGTGTCTTGTTTTGCAGGACCCTCGCATCAGGAGTCACATGTCTCGTCAGGCCATGCAGGGAATGCCAGTCCGGAACACTGGGAGCCCCAAGTCCTCAGTGAAGACCCGCCAAGCTTTCTTCCTTCACACTACATATTTCACAAAATTTGCTCGTCAGGTCTGCAAAAATACCCTTCGGCTGCGGCAGGCAGCGAGACGGCCGTTTGTTCCTATTAATTATGCTGCCATTAGGGCAGAATGTAAGATGCTTTTAAATTCTTAACCTTATGTGTTGTGCTTACGACCATTTCTCTCCTTCCCTATCTCTCGTTTTTGTTTTTTTCTTTTGTTTTGTTTTTGTTTGTTTGTTTGCAATAAACATAAGTTCTTGTGTACAGCCTTTTATTTGGTTTATTTTTTTTAACATTGTTTTTGTCTGCTGCCATTTGTATCATGCCAAGCTGAAAAGGAGACCCTGAAACCTCTTGCAGTCTCTCTGCAGAGAGAATAGTGCCCAGCAGGGAATCGGTGGGAGGTGCCCTTGTCCAGTGAGGCTTTGTGATGGAATTGCCTAAGAACCTTTGTTGAAGAGGCACTTTCACCTGTAAGGTGGTGCCGCCGTGTCATCCCTAAGGATGGTGTCACAGTGAAACTCCAGGGTTGAGACATGCGGTCCAGCCTTACATGGCTTCGTTAGGTTTGAATAAAATTTGCCAGTTTACACTAATGAGAAGTTGCATGTCTTTGTAAACCTCTCACTTTCCCATGAACCTTTTACAGTTCTACAGTGTTACAGAAATTCACAGCTTCATAACAAACACTACAGTTATCTGAAGATTTAGCAAATTGTAAAAGAACTCGAGTGTCTTTTGGCGTGAATTTTCTCCAAATATGTATTTAGTTTTGACAGGCTGGTGACCGTATTTGTGGCTGAGCATTCTTTCTATTTGTCCGATTTGGTTTCCATTTCATAATCATACATACATTACCGCGTAACATTTACATGCCTGTTACTCCCATTTCCAACATGTTCAGTCTTGCTTATGTTTCTTTTTTTTTTTTTTTTTTTTTTGGTTAGAACAAAGGTCATATGTATCAGTGAATTGTGGGTTGTTCTATTATTACCATGTGCGCCTAAAATGTGTCCGTAATTTGTGTGTTAGGCTCTGGTTCTAGTCTTGCTACGTTTAGTCACATGCCTGGCTGCCATGTTAGACCATGCCACTTCTTCCCCTGAAGCATGAGAAAACCTGCTGTCTGGCTTAACAGAGAGGAAATTTTATGAACATTGAGTAGATGCTTTTTCTTTGTGAGAAAAGAAATGTATTATGAGATGTTCCACTTTGATTTAAAGAGGATGTCCATTTAAGGAGTGATGATTGGAAATCATTTTTTTGTTCCTAGAGGTGATTTTCAACAGAATGGTTGAAAGGCTTTACAAGTTACAGGTAAAAGCTTTATAAGGAGAAAAAAGTGCTTTGTAAAGAGAGTAGAAAATGGTGGTACTCTCTGAGTCCCATGGAGGGAAATTTAGCTACATTACACTCATGTTTATTTGGGTCTTAGGCTGGTATTTCATGCTAGCATTTCTGAGTTCATTACACTTTCTTACCCATTTTAAGGAACTGGAAAATATTTACATTCATCTAAACTGCTTAGCTGATTTAAAACACATTTATATAATTTCTTAACTAAACAGGATAATAAAACATGAGAAAAAAATGAATGAAATTCTTCCATTAAAATTGGCCAGGATCCAAAATCCTGTTTGTTCCCATGAATGGAAGAGAATTCATCATCAACTAAATCGGCAGCTGAGGAAGCTTCTCTTTCCCGTGGCTCTTCCGTTAGTTGCTCAGGAAATTTGCAAGTTGCCTTTATTTTGATTATTCTTAATGAAGTGTATTTTTCTGTTACGTCATTTTATGTATTCTCAATTGAAAGGCCACACTGTTAAAAAAGTTGCCGAGGGGGCAAGGTTAAATTATATGTGTCTTATTTCTATAAACACAGAGCTATAATAATAATAATAATAATAATAATAATAATAAAAGGACAGAGTCATTTGTTGTGATGGGATTCAAGGAGCATATTTTATATGTATTTTGCTTCATTGGTCAAGTTACATATAGAATCAGATTTTCAGAATAATTTTACCTTGAAATTTACAGTTACAAAGTTTCAGCAGCCATCCACTGTTTTGTTTTGTTTTGTTTCCCAGACAGGCAGCTAATGAACTCTTCGAGCATCTAATTGATTCTTACACCATCTTCTCCCTTCTTATCTGTACCTTGTTAAAACTTCTCCAGCAGGCCCTTGATCTTGGCTTGTTACAGAGAAGATGAGACGTTAATAACCTGATGTCTGGAGACAATCATCTTTGGTCCAGTGGGAATGTATAGGTGTATTTATTTATTTATTTTTTTTTTAGTAAGCGTTCCTTGATTTCTCAAGGGCAGTGGTGACCCCCACCCCTCCTCAGAAAAAGTTAAGAATCCCTATAACAGTATGGATGGACTGTCAGAGCAGATGGAATCCGTAATTCTATAGATATTGATGGATCAAGAGCTCTAATTGATGCATTTTAGAATAATTCTTCATAATATTACCAAGGCAAATAGTTTTCCCTGGGAACTTGAGACTTCTAAGCCCTGTACAAGCTGACCCCTCCCACGGTTTCTGACCCTGGCAGCGCTGTCCCCACCAGTGGCCTCGCCAGAGTCCATGGGGTGACGGGCCGCGCAAGAGTGAAGAGCTAGTGAGATAAATTCTCAGATGGTGCAGATCATAATCGTAACTTAAGTGTTTGACTTAACAAGTTGATCCTTTTAGAGAAAATGTTTTTTTGGTTTGTTGCAACAGCACCCTCTGGCCTTTATTTTCATGAAGAAAATGGCATTAAAACAGTAAAAAGGGGAATCCATAAAGTATCACAGAGAAAATGTAAGAAGTAGTAATATCTGTGGGAAGGGAAGCTGGGAGGCTGAGGCACAGGGGTGGAAAGGAGACTTCCCCCTGTTTATCCTTTTAAACTTATCCAACTTTGAGCCATAGGAATATATTTCCTATTTTAAAAAACAATTTTAAAAACAGGTATATGGAATGATCAACATGTTTAAAAATATGTACATATGTGATATATATAGAGTGATTTTTTATTTTTAATTTATTTTTTTAAATTTACTTATTTTGAAAGAGAGAGCAAGCAGGGAAGGGGCAGAGAAAGAATCCCAAGCAGGTTTCGCACTGTCCGTGCAGAGCCTGATACACAGCTCGAACTCATGAACCATGAGATCATGACCAAAGTTGGATACTCAACCAACTGAGCCTTCCAGGCAACCTAGAAGGTGATTTTTTAAAAACCAAATTCCCCAAATATCTATTTGTTTTAATAATACACCTTTTAAACAAATGTTTTAAATATTTATATTTGAGAGGGAGAGAGAGACAGCATGAGTGAGGGAGGGGCAGAGAGAGTGAGATGGAATCAGAAGCAGACTCCAGGCTCTGAGCTGTCAGCACAAAATCCAATGTGGGGCTCCAACCTACAAGCCATGAGATCATGACCTGAATCTAAATCAGACCCTTAACCAATTGAGCCACCCAGGTGCCCCTATAATATGCCTTTATACGAAAATATAGAAGTCCGTGACTTATTACTTACTATAACAGTCACTAACTATTACTTCCATATTACTAACGTTAACACACAATGCCTCAGCCAGTTCTATCATGTAGATAGTGCCTACTACGGATTGGTAGACCAATGACGGATTGGTAGACCAAAAACCAAAACACTGCAGAAAGAGAAGTGTTGTGTCCTTGACAAGATTTGCAGACCAACAGCATGGGTTGCTAAGTTTCAGACAGCCTGTCTCTTCTCCCCCTTGACACCCCACCTGCTAAGAAAGCCATGATATGATAATGGTGTCCTTCCTTTGTTATCGCCATCAGACATTACCACTGAGCCCCCTGATGGCTTTATTAAAGATCTGTAAAATCACCCCACACCTGATGAGCACAGGGTTACAACTTGAGACTCAGGATCCTCAGAAACTGAGGTTAAGTAGAAGTGGGTATTTCAGCAGCATTCCGTAGATCAAGCTATAGTGCCAGAGAAGGGGATCCTAGTGGCTGACCTGCCACCTTGGTAGCTTGCCTGGGTGATTCAGTGGGTTCTGACTTGAATGACCACCACTCCCTAGTGTAAAGCTCCTTGAGCCTGCAGCCATTTTTTGATGCTTGAAGATGCTATTCACCTTTGGAAATATCCCAAGGGCCTGTATTCAGAAGTTTTTAATATATATTTTATAGGAGTTTTTTCCCTAGAGATTTCTCAGCAAAAGTTCATAATTCTATGAAATCGTGTGAAACTTTCAAGCTCCAGTATTAGCAGAGAACAGTTTTGGTTTGTTTTGGTATTTGGGGTAGTTTATTTGTAATAAAAATTCTTTTCTGAGTGGGTACTTTAAATTTTTCTAAAGATACAAAAATGGTTACAAATCTTACTGCCATTCCTACTTCTGCCGTCTTCAGAGGTAACTTAACATTGTCATAGTGTCTAACGTATCCAGAGAAATTCTGTGTATCTATACCAGTCTGCATAGGTGTGTTCTTTTTGTGTTTTAATGTTGAATGTCTACATTGTTCTATACCTGGCTTTTTTTAATTTTATTTTTTGGAGAGAGAGGGGGGTGCCTGGATGACTCAGTCAGTTAGCATCCAACTTTGACTCAGGTCATGATCTCAAAGTTCATGAGTTCGAGCCCCACATAGGGCTCTCTCCTGTCAGTACAGACCCCATTTTGGATCTGTCTCCTTCTGTCTCTGCCTCTACACCCCCCATCTCAAAAATAAATAAACATTAAAAAAACAAACTTAGAACAAGCAGGGAGAGGGCAGTGGGGGGTTGGGCGTAGAGAGAGAATCTGAGGCAGGCTCCACGACCATGCGGGCCTTGATCCTATGGCCCTGGGATCGTGACCTGAACCAAAATCAAGAGTCCGACACTCAACAGATTGACTACCCAGATGCCCCTGCCTTTCTTAACATATCTTGGAGGCCATTCCATACCAGGCCATTGAGAGTTACCATTTTTTCTTATCAGCTGCATAATAATCTGTTTTATGTTTACTTTAACCAGTTTCCTAGTAAACAGATTTTTAGGTTATTTCCAATTATTTTCTATTATAAGTAATGTTGCAACAAATATCCTTATACAGATAGCCTTTCATACTAATGTGTGAAATGTGCATGTAGGTTACAGGACAGACCCCTAAAAGTAGAACATCTGAGTCAAAGAACATGCGTTTGGAATTTTAATAGTCACTACCCAGGAACCTTTAGAAAAACTGTGATTTGTTCTCCTACCCACGAAGTCCAGAGAATGCCTGTTTCTCTAGAACCTTACCAGCAGTGTTATCAATCTTTGAAACCCTTGACCAGTTGACAGGTGATGCATAAGGTATATTAGTTTGCATTTCTCATTTTGAATGAGCTAGAAATCTTTGCATGTATTTGAAAACCATTTGTATTTCCTTTTCTATCAACTGTTTTTGCCCCTGGCCTGTTTTCTATTAGAAGTCTTACTGACTTGTGAGAACTTTTTATATTTGAAGGAAGTTTACTCTTGATCTGTGATATATGGTGCAAATATTTACTCCGTTTTGCCTTTGACTTTGTTTGCAATGTATTTGTCAAGCAGATTTTTTTTAACATAGTTGAATTTATCATTTTTTTAAAGACACCTAGGTTTTGTGTCTTTACAAAATGTCTGGGTAGCTCAATTGGTTAAGCATCCTACTCAGCCCAGGTCATTATCTCACAGTTTGTGGTTCAAACCCCACATAGGACTCTGTGCTGATGACACAGAGCCTGCTTGGAATTCTGTCTCCCTCTCTCTCTGCTTCTCCCTGCTTGCTCACTCTCTCAAAAATAAATAAACATCTAAAAAGAGAGAGAGAGGAAGGAAAGAAGGAAAGGAAAGGGAAAGAGGAAGGAAGGAAAGAGAAAGAAAAAGAATGGAAAGGAAGAAAGAAAAAGAGAAAAGAAAGAAGGAAAAAGAGAAAAAGGAAGAAAGAAAAAGAGAAAAGAAAGAAGGAAAAAGAGAAAAAAGAAGAAAGAAAAAGAAATGCCTGTGCAGGGTGCCTGGGTTGCTCAGTCGGTTGGGTGTCAGACTCTTGATCTCCGCTCAGGTCTTGATCTCTGGGTCATGTGTTCAAGCCCCATGTTGGGCTCCACACTGGGTAGGAAGCTTGCAGGAAGCTTTCTTAAAAATAAATAAATAAAAATAGAAGTGCCTTTGCAATTCCTTTAAGAAAATTCCATGGGTGGTTTTATTTTGACAGCAATCTCGGAAGCCTATGTGAGCTGTTTTTTTGAATTTTAATTCAGTGTGTACTTTTTGCAGTTTTTCTATTTTATCCCCCCCACCACCACCACACACACACATATATTTCCAAAACATTCTAGAGAAATGGCTGAGTTGCAATAAAAGCAACAATGTTTTTCTAGGTTTACCTCAAGAAGATGCACTCTAGGAAGCTGAAGAAATGTGCCTGTGTGCAGCCACATGATTTGAGTGAGGCACCCATGTTCTCCCTCTTTCTGGCATATTTTGATTTCTTCTGGGTTCTTTGGGCATCTCTCAGGTGGCTTGTTTTATCTGTGCACTTTTAATGCATCCCAATGAATGCTCTGTGTTTCAATAGAGTTAGGTGAATAATTTGAGAGCAAGGACGGACTGACAAATGGCACCACCGGCCTGTTCTTGAGTGCAGACCAAGATTCTGTTTAACCAACTCAAGTGCAGACCCAATAATCCTATGTTTATGATCATTCCCTTGGGGCAGAAGGTATTTTCCGCATGCATATCCAGAGTATATCACTGAATGCATGCAGGTCTTTTAAAATTTTTTTGGTAATCTTTGTTTTTGAGAGAGAAGCAGAGGGGGACACAGAATCCAAAGCAGGCTACAGACTCTAAGCCATCAGCACAAAGTCTGAGTGAGGCTTGAACTCATGAATGGTGAGATCATGACCTGAGCCAAAGTCAGACACTTAACTGACTGAGCCACCAGGTGCCCCTAATTTTTTTTTAATGTTTATTTTTGAGAGAGAGAGTGTGCGAGTGGGGGGGGGGGGGGGGAGGAAGACACGGAATCCAAAGCAGGCTCCAGACTCAGCTGTCAGCACAAAACCTGACGTGAGGCTCGAACTCACGAATGGTGAGATCATGACCTGAGCCAAAGTCAGACACTTAACCAACTGAGCTCCCAGACCCCCCAAGAATACATGCAGTTTTGATGTTAGACAGTGACTAGGTAGTTTTAGCATGTTCCATCCTAATTTCCTCATCGTTGAGTCTGAGAATTCTTGCCACCAACTACTTTCTTTAAAACATACTGGAAATTAGTGATCCTCCTAAGGAGCTTTGATCTCCTACTCAGGTGCCTTGTAAATTGTCACTTGGCATATCACATCATTAATCCTACTGACTTAATGAGAAATTAAAAGCAGATGAGTTTAATTTGAAGTATGTTTAGGGATTGTGTCGGTGACCCCTTTGATAGGCTGTTCATTCTGTTGACTCTTGTCAAGGTGACAGTCCTTTGGGAGTCCATCAGGTGCAGCCACACTGGCAGTTTTCCTTCCGGCCTTATCAAGGGGAACAGGTGCAAAGTTAATCTTATTACTAGTAATACAATGATTGCCTTTGTCCAAAACACTAAGGAAGTACCAGCCTGATTCATTCAAACTTTCTCTCCTTAATAGAAAAAACAAAATTCTCTCTTGTCCTCGTCCCAAGTAGAACTTGAATTTTACATGAAGGAATTATTTAGTATTAACTCCTACTAATTGGGCAGGTATTTGATCCCTGCAGGATTTGTGCTGCCTTTTTTTAAAAAATGTTTATATATTTTGAGAGAAAGAGAGTGGGGGGAGGAGCAGAGAGAGAGGAGGGAGAGAATCTTAACCAGACTCCATGCTCAGCACAGAGCCTGACATATGGCTTGATCCCATGAACCACAAGACCATGACCTGACCCCAAATCAAGAGTCTGAGGCGTAACTGACTGAGCCACCGAGGCAACCCCCCCCCCGCGTGCTGCTTTTTAATGTTTATTTAGATTACTCTTCCAAAATATGCTTAGAATTTCTTCTTCTATTTTCACTACTATTCAACAACAGGGGAAAAACTTCATATCTTAATAATTTTTCTTTCCAAAGGAAATCCGCTGAGCCAGAAGGAAAAGAAATTGGATCATTTATAGTTGTCCATGATTGTATAATAATTAGGCAGTGCTTGGGGTACATATTCAGATTCCTATTATTTGAGGCTCTCTGCAGTATGTGCTTTGTTTATTGTAAATTTTTTTATTCTATTTTCCCACCTCTTTCTGTTTCATAGTTAAAATTGTTTTGAGGCACCTGGGTGGCTCAGTCAGTTAAGTGTCCAGCTTCGGCTCAGGTCATGATCTCACGGTCTGTGAGTTTGAACCCAGCATTGAACTCCATGTTGTCAGGGGGAAGCCTGCTTCAGATCTTCTGTCCCCTTCTCTCTCTGCCCTTCCCCTGCTCATGCTCTCTCTCTCTCTCAGAAATAAATAAAAAACATTAAAATTTTTTTATAGTTTCCTTGGTGAAAAAGAGGGCTAGAGCTTATGAAAAAGTTAATTTTTAATTTTAAATGATTTGAGACTCCAGATTGAATTGTACATTTTAACACTGCAGAGAATTCCTATGGTTGTCAAAGGCAGTTTCCTGTAGGCATGCCTAAAAATGTGGTCTCAGCCACAGAAAACCTACACGACATTTTTGTCAAGTATTTGAAGGTGGGAAAAAGGCATCAACGTAGCAAAATAATATCTGCTAATACTACTCTGTTAAGCTTTATGACAATATCTGCAAATTTAAAAACATTTCAATACACATTTTTTTTTGGTCCCTTCAAACTCTATTTTTGTAACTTAACTCTTCAGTGTGAGAGCAGCCATGTTCTGCATGTACTCTTCCACCCTAATGACGGCTAATTACAACTGAGAGAGTGTGCCGTATGCTTTATTTTTCTCTGTCTGAAATGTCTTCCGGTAGGGTATGAAGAATGTGATGTGAACTTTTATGAATGCTAATATCCATTCTCACAGTATCATACTGTTCTGACTATTGGATGACATACTCTGTCTACATACAGGTAACCTTTTAAGTCTCAGCACTACTCACATCATAGTAGGATATGAAGGATAAGAAAACCAGCGATAAAGCCAATGACCCGCTTTTACCCACATGAGGCTCTCATCTAATGGACTTGAGTTTAATCAAGAGAGATTAAAACTTCTCAGCAGAGCCTCACTCCCTGTAGGTCAGGGATGGCCAAGTGTGTTTCCTCTGTCAGCTGTCATTTTTGTTTTCTATGCCAGATTAATCTTAAATTAGGACTGATTTCACATTATGGTGCCTGGAAGTTTTTCTACTGTAATGAAGCACTGTCATGGCTAGAACGGAAGCATATTTCCACTATTTTTCAGATAGGCACACAGAAAGAAAGCATGTGTGTACGATGTATGTTAGCCACACTCTTCTGAGACGCTTAAGTGAGCATTCTCCAGGTAAATCCTTCCTTCAGTAATTGGGAACCAGAACTAGAGACAGTTTTCTCAAACCCCAAAGGAAATTATGCAGGAATCTGATAGATATTTTGCCTCACCTTCCACTTGCACCTGTTTTTCCACTGCAGCGTGTGTAGTATAGGTAGAGAAATCAGCCTCATTGGTTGTCTTCGTGTTTCCTTCTCTCCTCAGATGCAGACAGACATGCCGAACTTTCTGGAAGTCCACTGAAAAGCAAAAGCACTAGGAAACCTTTGGCATGTATCATTGGGTACTTAGGTGGGTATTTTCTAACAGAGGGAAAAATTTCAAACAACAATTTCCGTATCTTCTAAGTATTTGGCTTCTCTAAATTGACACACCTAAACTAAGTCCAAGCCTTTCAAGTAGCTGAAATTGGATACTTTCATATATATAGCCACTTTATTTTGTTTTAGAAACTTTTCTTCGTATTACCAAAACGTATACACACAGAGCATATACACAGAGTTATGGATATGTTTACTTTCCCCCCAAAATGTCATGAAATAAAAATGTAATGTCTATTTATGGATATAAATACAGATGAAGCAAAAAGAGGAAAATAAGAATCACTAAATGTTTAGAGGATGAATATTCTTAATGTTTTGACTGGCTTATGTTTTTTAATCAGATAAAAGTGTTTTTAACCTACCTTTAAAAATATTTATGGTTTTGCTGTACCAATTAAGGTTACTTTGAAAGGAGAACATTTGTATTGCTTTCTGGTTTTTATCAACTTATTTAACTTGAAGATCGCCAAAGGTGATGATTCCATATACATGTTGAAATAGCACAATTAAGAATAGTACTTTTAAAAATCAGTAGGCAGTCACTCTCTTTTTGTTTTTTGCAGAGTATTAAGGTAATTTACAAAATAATGGTTTCTAAAATGGTTCCTAATATACCTAGGAGCTATAATGGCATGTTTTTGTGCTTCTAATATTCTCACTTTTTTATTTTCTCAGTAAAAGTGAAAGAGGTACTCAAAGTTGCATTGAACCTTATTGCTCTGTCAGAAAGATACACAGTTATGAAGTGTTCAGACTCTAGACATGCCTTTAAAATTCAAAATGTAGCCTTGAGCATGGTATATTATCTGGTCCTCATGAGCACATCCATGAGTCAGAAGCTCCCAGCTCCCTCTTTGATTTTACTTGGTCACCATATTTCTTGTTTTATTTCTCAGGGCCTAAAGAGTTGCTTTGGTAGCCTCCGAAAATATCACCTGGTTATCGTTGGCAGGACCTAGTCATGGTGATCAAGTCCTTCAACGTTGCTGTCTATATTCCCTTACGGGACCTAAGCCTAGAAGCCCCATCTCCCACCATGCAAGGAAAAGTCTCTGATCTTAAGAAATAGAATATAACATTGCATATTAGTTTTTCCATGGATAACTGTGTGTTCCTCCTATGGGCAAACTGGTCTTTGCTCCTACTAGATCAGCCCAATCCTGTGCTCTTGTTACTAGCTAAGCCACTTCCCTACCTAACGTATTTCTGAGTATTTACTGTGTACAAGACACTATGCTAATTGATTTGGGGGAACATCAAGATGAATAAGACTCTGCCCTCCAAAATCTTAGTTTAGTAGGGAAAGCACACAGGTAAGGACAGTTAGGCAAATGATTAGCTCCTATAAAGGAATTACAGGCAATATTCATTGGACAGTTAGAAGAAGGAATAGTTACTTATGATGAGAGTTATGGCAGCCCATGCGGAGAAAGCAGTATTTGATCTCAGCCTTGAATGATAAGTAGTATTTAAATAGGTAGAACAAAAGGAAAAAAATATTTTTCCCTTTGTGAGGCTAAGAGAACTGATAAACAAAGGCTTCAGTGAGTCCAGAGGCAAGTTGTCTGGACTGGAAGGAGTGTAGTGTGGAGGTTGTAATGAAAAGTGGTGCCATGTGAAAAAAAAATCAGCACTACATTTTGGTTAGCACTTGATCTGTTCCTGAACGTGGGCAAGTGTAGAGTTTCTACCAAACCAAGATATAGTAATTCTAACAATCCTAACAGTCTTCCCTAAACTTCAGGAAATGAGGCCTCTATCCTGGCCCCCCTGGGAACACAGGGTGGCTTGTGCACAGCTGGGGACTCTGACTCAGTGCGCAGGTTTAGCTTTGGACAAGAGGTAGCCCAGTGTCAATAACAGACTGAGATCCTCAAACCCAGTTCCCACAGGCTGCAATTTCGATCTGTCTGCTTTATCCAAAATATGCAAGCATTTCTGGGCTACATGGCTGACGACAACATACTTGATGTAAACACAATATCCCACGTACACATCATCGTTGCGTGATATATCCTCCATCAAAGCGTTTCTTCCACTGCGTCCACTGCGACTGTAGAATTTGTGAGTTTGGTGTCGGGTTTCAGCTGTATCAAAATATTCTGGACTGGGCGCGATTACCCCTGGTCCTAAACCCTGGCAGGGCCGGAAGAGGAATCCTGTTTTTCAGAAACCTCTCCCACCCCAGACATGCCGCATGCTATGTTTTTTTGTTTTGATAGAGCCCAGAGTTAGTTTTCTCTCTCAGGCTACTTCTCCAAATAAGCTCTACATTTCTAAAACCTTGAAGAGTTGGTTGCCTTATTCCCTTAGTGAATCTGTGTTTAAGTGACCTTCTGAAGCGGCAGGGGCTTTTTGTTGGTGGTTTTGTTGTCGCTGTTGTTGCTCATACTCCCAACATGAAGCTCCGAGCTCCAGCTATCAGAGGAAGAGGCAGCTCACTTTTGATAAGTAAAGCCATGGTAACAGCACTTGAAGCTGAATCATTATGCGAGTCCTTGGGAAAGCAGGCTGGCTCATAAGAAACTGGCTCTCAGCTCATTAAGGAGTAAGATGTGTGCCTATTAGGCAATGTAAGTGCACACAGAGATTTTTTAATACCACGTTCTGAGTTGAGAAACCTTTTCTCCCCCTGCCAGAGATCCATCCTTCGAAGAAACCTAATGTCATTCGGTCTGCACCAAGCCTGCAAACCCCTACTACCAAGAGGATGCTAAGCACCCCAAATCACACATCTCTGAGCATTTTGGGGAAAAGAAACTACAGTCATCACAATGGCCTGGATGGTATGTAAGCCTAGAAATTCGGGGTTGGGAGGGAGCTGGTCTGATAGGCCAGGGCCTCTCTGCCCTTGTCGCAGAGACATGTCCCATGACAAATGCAAGACGTGTGCCAAACAGGTTTCTTCTACGTTCCAATTGAACTGAATGTGTGGTAAGGGGATAAGAGGGAAGGCTGCCGTGTGCCACAGTGAGGACATCTTGCCAAGTGATATTTCACCATCTCCTCAGAAGGGGCCCTTTGCTCACATTCCCTGTGAGGAGACTTGTTTGGAGAGGAAGTCTGTATTTATCAGGTTGCCTCTGCTAGGCGATAATGTTCTTGCTGGGATGCATGCTCACTGCTCACTTATGTTTCCTTGAGCAGAAGGGATGATTTCACCTTCTGTCTGAGGCAGCCGTGCTCTCGGGGTTGGGGAGGGGCGGTTCTTCAGCGTTCTGTGGATCATTTTGGATATGGCATTTGTCCCCTACTTTCACCTTATAAAAAAATTTTAATTGCTCAAGAGTGCTACAAGTCATGAAGGGAATTGCCTGGGTGATGTCTCAAATACAAAAATAATAATTTGTTTGAAATGGAAAAGCTGAGAAATATCACCTCTTATCCAAAGTACTTCTCGTGGGGCTTGGCCCTATAATGACTCTTCAGGTGGAATTGAATTATCCTCAGCATTTGGACCCTCAGCACAAGCATAATAAATCATGCAGGCAGTATATATTGTTCATTTCAACAGTCCTGGAATTTGAGGCTGTCTTGATTGTTTAAATGTTGGTATTTATTTACGAGTAAAACTCTCTCCAGGCTTCTCATGTCTTCAGGGCCTCTAAATTCCTTCAGTGACAGTAAATTATTTATAATGAGGCCCTAGAGCAGGGATGTGGAATAGACCTTCTAGTAATAATTTCCCAGGGTTGTTTTCCTTCAGTATGACTTTTTGTGGTCACAGTGATGTCAAAATGAATAAAAAATTGAGGTTAAAGAGTTTAGTTTGCATTTATAGGATATCAATATGTTACAGATACGACTTTTAAGAACTTAGCTACACAGTATTCTTGCAGAAATACTTCTTTGCTAATAAGGACATTGGCCATCTTTGCCACAATATGCCTGGTATCTAGACAGCAGAAGACTAAGGACGGATCATGTCCAAATGTGGAGATGAGATCTCTTTCCAGCTTCTCTTTGCCCACAGCCTGGGCCTTTTGGATTCAGGCTTAAACGGAATGAGGGATCTTTCTTTTCCATCTCATGACCTCCCTGGCCTCTCTAGGTATATAGTCCTGTTTCAGAAAGCAGAAATTAAGTTCCAGTTCATTTGATACATACACAGGCATGTACATGTACACTTTATGGTAAGAAGACTCTTGTAGTGACTACATTTGAAATGACAGCTCTCTACTCTCTTTTTCCACTTGTGCCCAATGCTCACACCCACTCTGGTCCCAGTCCTAGCTCCACATTGCAACTCACATTATCACAGCTACCTATATATTTAGAATTTCTAAAAAATGCCACCTCATAGCGTTCCCTCTCTACACCTGTTTGCCCATTTCCTTCTAAAGATTGTTGCTGCAAGGTCATTGCTTCTTTGCTCTGAACAGGAGGAAAAGACAGGGCATACAGTGAGTGAATCCCTGGTGTTATGTTGACCAAGACCTTCAAACTTGTTTAGGGAAAGACACTTGCCTCATTTTCTGGAGACGCCTTTATCCTTCCAGACCCTTTTGTCTTTGCTCTCTGAAGGGTGGGATGACATGTGCCTCACCTGTGTTATCTCATTTGATTCACATGACAGAAGGTTCTAGGGGGTCAGGGTATTTAACTGTTTTGCATAACATTGTATTTCTACTGCCTAGCACAGTGCCTGGAACTTAGTAGGTGCTTAATGTTGATTGAATAAATGAGAGTGAGAAAAATGAGACCTAGAGAGAGGTAAATTAAATTTTCCAAAGTTACCAGGTACTGCATAAGTGGATTGGGATTCCCAATCAGGTGAGGCTGATTTCAGAGTCTGCTCTTTTAACCACGGTTTATAAAAGAAGTTGTGGGGGGCGCCTGGGTGGCCTAGTCGGTTAAGCGTCCGACTTTCGCTTAGGTCATGATCTCGCGGTTCGTGGGTTCGAGCCCCGCGTCGGGCTCTGTGCTGACTGCCAGCTCAGAGCCTGGAGCCTGTTTCAGTCTGTGACTCCCTCTCTCTCTGACCCTCCCCTGCTCACACTGTCTCTCTCTCTCTCTCTCTCTCTCTCTCCTAGAAATAAATAAAAAATATTAAAAAAAAAATAAAAAAAAAAAGTTGTGGCTCTCAGATACACTGTATTTGTCAGCAAAGTAGAAAGCAGAGAAGTCCTGCTTGCTAATTTAACATAAGAAGTCAATATTATAGGTCTTGGAGGACAGAATAGGTGGTGGAACATGGAGGGGGGGCACAGGAAGCAGCCGCCATCCCTAGGGTTCGGAGAGCAAAAGCAAGAAGTTGGGGTTATCATGAGCTAGAGGCTCGAGGAGGCTCGAGGAGGCCTGAGGAGCTTGAACTGAGGCCCCGAGGAAGGGCGCCGCTCGGCCGGTGCTGACAGCTCTCAGGTCTGAGGAGGCCGGCTCTGGGAGCATGAAGGAAAGCTGGGAACTGAGCAAACTGTGGCTACTTGGGGGTGAGGCAGGAACTGGACCCAGCAAGTGCCTTCTGTGGCCACCAGCCTTGCAGCCTCCCTCTAGCTCCCCCTACTGGTGTATCGGGGATCCGGATGGCTAAGGAGAAGTATTTGCAGATCCTCAGCCTCAGTGTTGCTGAACTGACTTTAAATGGATGGATGTGGATCTGAGAGACAAGTGTAACAGAAACACACATTGTAGAAAATGTCCCCGTTTTTGTATTCCCAGTGGAGCTTTTCCTTGGGATAAAGGGTCTGTTTCTTATTTCCTCGACACAGGATCCAGACTAACCTGAGCTTCCAAGGTGAACTCAAAGTACTAGGAAAAAAAAAAAAAAGGCTAATAGAGAGTTTTCATGGGCTAGTCAATACCATCATTTACTGGAATTGATGGATACAAACTCATGGAAAAGCCTTGCCTTGTGATCCAGTAATAAAACCAGTTAGCATTGCTACTTAATTATCAGCATGTCAGACAGATGAGCACAACAAGCAGGATGCTGAAACTGGAAACAAAACCCGAGTACTGATATATCCAGGTCTCTCAGCTGTAGGGCCTCCTGGCCCCTTCTCAGGAGCTTGCCCCCTTCACTAACCCTCCATCTTCAGTTGGAAGTTCATGACGATGGAAAAAGATGCTCTGGATTCCTACTGGTAGAACGAATTTTACCTGACATTAAAAAAAAGAAAGGAGGGGAGGGACACTTGGGTGGCTTAGTCAGTTAAGCATCTGACTTCTGCTCAGGTCACGATTGTTGGGCTCTGTGCTGACAGCTCACCTGCTTTGGATTCTGTGTCTCCCTTTCTCTCTGCCCCACCCCTGCTTGCGCTCTGTCTCTCAAAAATGAATAAACATTTAAAAAAAATTTTTTTTGTTTTAAATGATGGGCAGTTTCTTCTTATCTTCCTGAAAGTCACTGTCTTTCATCTGGCCCTGGCCCCTTAAAGGCACTGATGGTTGGAAATCAGACCTCTGGGTCCTCTCTTAAGCTTAAACCATGGCACCCAGCCACACTGTGATTCCCCTACCGGATCTTTTTTTTTTTTTTTTTTTTTTTTTAGTTTTATTTATTTCTAGGAGAGAGAGAGAGAGACAGCGTGAGCAGGGGAGGGTCAGAGAGAGAGGGAGTCACAGAATCCAAAACAGGCTCTAGGCTCTGAGCTGGCTGTCAGCACAGAGCCCGATGCAGGGCTCGAACCCACGAACCACGAGATCATGACCTAAGTGAAAGTCGGATGCTTAACCGACTAAGCCACCTATGCGCCCCTCCCCTACTGGATCTTAAACTCCAAAGGTGAAAATGGAATCTGCATACATAGGAAGCTTCATTATTTGGGGTCAGTAATGACAGGAAGAATGAAATTTTGAAACGTAGACTTACATGACTCCTTACCACAGTCCAGTACGCTCCAGTCTTTCCCATCAGGTGGTTGGTCCAGTGGTGTGCCGCCTGCAATCATGTGCTTTCCAAATCCTGTCTCCTTTTCTGACTTACAGATGCTTTGATGGCCTTTTTATTGCCAGCAAACCAAGTACCTACCACATTTGGCCCACTTGGTTAACTCCACGTGGCTGTGAGTAGAGAAAGCCCTGAGATCAGTGGGGATAAAAGAGCAATTCTTGGAAAGCCTTTCCATGTATGAGAGCCCAAAAGAGAGAGCAGCAGGGGAGATGGGATTTCTCTGTGCCATGGGGGAAAAAGTACTTCTGAGTGTTTGGAATCAGCTAGGATTTACTGCTAACTTCTCTGATTACTTCCTGTGTGGCCTTGGGTGAATCACTTAGATTCTTTAAGCCTGTTTTCTCTTCTGTAAAGTACAAATTTAATTTGCCTTAATGGGGTTGTGATAATGATTAAAAATATTGCTCCGACTTTATGCTACTTGATCTTCCATACTCTTTATGAGATAGGTGTTACAACATGCATTTTAATAATGAAAAAACCCAAAGAGGTAGAGGGATTTCCCTAAAGCCACATTCTTAACAAGCAGATATGAAATTCAAGCTCCAATCTGGGGTTGTTTGCATTGGATGTATAAGGACCAGGATTTGTGTGCTGAGTGCAGCAAGTACCTGGGAGATGTTAATGCTTTCTGAGCATTGGAGATGGGTGTGTGTTTGTAAATATAGAGAGGAACGTAGTAGGTATTTTTCTGTGTGTAGACTGTGAGGTGTAATAAGCCATCATTTGTCTGATTGAAGCTGTCCCTCCATCTCCTGCCCCTGTGAGGCTCTTCTGCTCCTAACATACCCCCTACTTTTTCTGGAATGTAGGGCATAAGAACTATATTAATGTCAGAGAGAGGGGAGAAAAAAGAAAGAAAATTCACAGAATCACCTAAAAGTGAAATGTGTT